CAAAGTTGCATGTAATTATATCATCAGTGTCATTATTTAAATAATCGTCTAAATTAGAAAATTCATCATCGTTTCCAAGGAGTTTATCATCATTGTTTTGGAGTTGTGGAAGCTGATTATCGATAGTGCCATCTTTGCGTAAGGAATTTAACACATTATAATCAATGTCGACTTTGCTATAGTAGCGATTGTTTGCTTTTAGCCAATGAAGTGCTTGCTCAATCTTGTCCCGGCGAACGGTGAAGTCTCTGAACGTTTGTTGCCCTTGTGCAGACTTGCGACGCACAATAAGCATTCCTAATGATTGGGGATGTCGAGGAAGTCATGTTACAAATTCTTTTACGTCCTGGGGAAAATTAATTACATTTCCACGGTAAGCGTATTGACCTCCACGCAGGTAATATACAGAAACAATAGGAAAAATCTGAGCTATTAGCATTTCTTCAATTTCAGTGAGACACTTTAGTTCCTCTGGCACCCCAAGATTCATGTTATTGTCGGCTGAAAACTTCTTTAATTCGCCTTTTTCACTATAGCAACGTCGACATTCTCCCATAATGATTGTTACTGATGGAAAACGTTCTTTACACATAGGACATAAGCATTGTGCACAATTATACATCTCAGTGCTAAATTTTTTTAGAAGTTTTTGGTCAACATCAGAGAGCTGTTGAATGCATAATGAGTTTTCAGGAAGTACTTCTGCTTCTGTAACAGTATTGACGTTTTCTTGGTTGATAGGTTCTAAGACACGTCGTCTTTTATTTCTCATATGTTCACGAGCTTTGGCCAAGTGAGTACTACACTCTTCAGCAGTCTCTAGCTTTTTTCATTCTTGCTGCCTTAGTCTATTACGTTCACGATCTAAGGAATTTCTATTAGGTGCTTCATTTTCTTTGCCTTTACATTTTTGAGTTTGAAAACTCATTTTTTAATTGTTAATGGATTTCACGAGCTAAGTATAGTATTTAATAAGTATGAAGAAGTTTGTGTTTGAGTATAATACAGATTTAAGTAACAAATATTTATGCAAATATTAGGGAATGTATTCAGTGGAACAATTCTTACTCAGGTAACCAAACAAAATAACACATTCGACTTAAACAATTAAGCTCTAAAATCTATATTGTTATAATACTTGTCAACTAAACCAACTAACGTCTAAAAAAAATTTACTGATAAATTTTATTAAGCAAATTCTATATATTCCTATTTTTATATTTTTACGATGTACAAAATTAAATATAACAATGCATTTATAGAAAACCTGGTTATTTGATATGCATCATATGATATGCTTTAGAAATAACTCAAATTCATTTAAACTTTTTGCCTGAGTATTTGATGCAATACATACATAGTTTTTATTAATGAACTATTATAACACTGCCTACTTTATGTTGAAACACGAAACGCAATAGAATAACAACATAATGATAATAATATATGGCTTTAATAATAAAATTGTACGTATCGTATCGGTAATAGGAAAAACTACTTCTAGCAGTATCGACTGTTATTTTTAATTAGACTATTAGGAGCGCTAGAATTAATTGAGTAATAAATGTATTCAAATTATATACTAATAAATATGCATAGTTGCACTGACTGTAGATCATCACGGGTCCTGTCAAATTTGAGTAATAAATATATCGGTATTGATGCCAAATTATATACGTATAATATACTAATAAATATGCATAGTTGCACTGACTATAGATCATCATGGGACCCATCAAATCTCGATTTTTATTGGCTGTATCTGACTAACATTGCATGAACGTGCATTTAAGTTTACTCAAACAATTGAGTCCTCGCTATGCTTCGGACAATAATAAACTAGAGAACCTAATCCAAAAAATTCACAAACATGAAGCATTCTATAATATAGCACCACAACTTTACTCATATCATATAGAGCCTACTCTTAAAGGGTTAATTCCCTGATCTTTAATTCAAACTATTCAAGACTACAATATTTCTTATAAGATGGCATTAGATATTATAATTAATCTACTACTTAAAATTAATAAACAATTATACGAACAAGTATGGAAACCTTACTGTACCAATTTTGCTAATTTGAAAAAACAGCAACAATTAACCTTTTCATACTCCAATAACTCTAACTTTATGCAACAAATTGATAATTCAAACTCTAATATTTTAAGCCCAAATCAGCAATTTAAAAGTATTAATCGTATATGACAAATATATACATACTTATGTCTATATGAACTACCAGATCAATTACACTCACATACTGGAGCCTAGTGTTTCAAATAGACCAGATCAGACAGATCTTCTTAAAGATCCGAATCTGATCTGAAAAATTCGGACTGGATCCAAGTTAGAATCTGGAACCCTTTCACCTTTATCTTGATCCGGCCTTGGATCTGATCCATCCTTTTAACCTTTGCATAATTCATAGACAGAAGTTTGTCTGATTGGCTAGTTTTGCTAGTTTCAAAGATCAATCTGTGAATCTTTACGTAATTATTAAACAATCAAATTACATCATTTTAAAAACCTCAAGAAAAAAATTTGTATATATGCATGAAGTATAAGATTATACACGTATAGAAGATAGATACATATACAGAGTAAGAAAAAAGTGGTATTTACTTCCAAAACAACGTTAAACCATTACACACTATATAGATTCGATTTTGTATATACTATCAATAAACTCAAATTCGCTTTAACAAGCTAAGTAATATCTTAAATATAAGTCTATCTTTCATATGAACAAGAAGTTTGCTTTACTCCAAACACTTAACTTTTCAACTCTAAGAAAAAACATGGCAGCTATTTTGTTAATAAATGTTTAGCTTTAGTGCATTTTAAGATTTCAACAAAGCACTTTTTTCTTTACCTTCTGAAGTTAGAAATGATATTTTTGACAATTGTTGCTTGTGTAATTTTACATTCCAAAAAAGTACTTAAAAGTATATAAGTTATACAGATAATTGATTTACGCTAGCAAATCAGGCGAATTTCTGTCAATGATCATATAATTGCTGTTATAAATTCTAGAACACCTGACAAAAAATTTGCCAAATAATTTCAATACTTTTTATGTTTTTTAACTTGATTTAATAAGATGTTTTAAAGCATTTTTTAAATCATTTGCTATCCTAAGATCAGGTGCCTAACATAAATAAGGCTACTCATCAAAACGTCTCTATCATGATACGTACATATTTTCTGAATGCAAACGCATAATGGTAATACTTACTCTATTGCATATTTATAATAAATTTTAGCTTGTTTTTTTTAAAGAAAAGATACAAAAAATTTATATAAAATTAATCAATAAATTTCACAAATTAAAATCAAAAAATTTACATAAAAACTAAAGTCAAAAAATTTTAAATCAGATCATACGTATATATTAATCATTTAATTCTCTCCACCATGATCTCAAGCACATTGTTGCACACACAGTTTTTCCATCCAAACGATTTGTTTATCAGTTATCATATCACTACTAACGCTGAACATTTGCTTACTTGGAACACTCGTAGCGGGTATTGAAAGGCAGTTTCTAGCAAATTTTGCAAGATTCAGATAGCTGGTTTCATTCACTCACCACCATTCTAAAATATCTATATGTGGATCTACACGCGGCATCATCAAATATATCTCAAGCTCACTTTGTTGTTCTACACATATGCGTTTAAAGGTTCTTGATATTATATTTGTGGATAAATTTGCGATTGAGCTTGTTGTTCCATAGCTGGGGGAGGTGCATATTAACTTTTATATTTATTCTCAACACTTTAAAATATATAAATATATTTATTCATTAGTTTAAAGATAAACCTAATAAATAAACAAATAAATATTAATAATTATAATCTTTTGTCCATTTATTTTAAGTATTGATAAGGCTATGCAAATTTAATTGATTCATAATCGGGTAGGTTTTTAAGGAATTTTTATATATGAAATTTAAAAAAAAATAAGCCAGCCGACTGGTCTGTTTAAAAGTTTCATGTTATGAAAATCAAGATATTAAATTTGCGTGGCCTAATACATTAGAATTTCTACTTTAGCTGATTTTAAATACCACCAAAATGCTCTCTTTCACTTTAAAAATGCCTATATTATGTTGATAACGGTTTCTAACATCTAATTGTTCACTAGAATTTTCACTTTAGCAGATTTCAATACTATAAAATTACCTCTTTTTATCTTTAAAAAGGCCTGTGCTATTTTGATAGCAATTTCCAAAATTCGATTGTCTTACAATCTCGCTATAGCAAATCCTAAATATTTGGATTCTTTCTTTTTATCTTTAAAAATGCCTATGCCTTCATAATAGTAGTCCCAAACTTTTTTTTGCTTACATACGAATTTTTTATGCAAGTATATCCAACCATTATATATTTGTATATTTGTCGTACGTAACTGCTTTTAAAATAACAAAATTATAGGGAAAAAAAAGACAGCATAATCAAAGTGTTAAAATAGATGGACATTAGAACTTTAATAATATTATCGTTACCTATATATAAGTGCTGCTATGGGATAAAGCTTCAAGCTTATAACATAATGAATCTGACCTCTGAAAAATTAGATAAAGTTTATTTTAGCTGTTTTCAAAAAGGTGTGCACTATTATATTATGGGAAATCTTTATTCGCAGAATCAGGAAAATTGGGAAATCATGTGATTTCCTACAATATAATTGTGTGCACCTGTTACACCTTTTTACGTATTATGTACATATGTGTTAAAATTTTTTAAGGGTAAATCCGTCAAGTTATAAATTTGAAAGCCTGAAATCCAATTTTCTTGGAGGCACTCATATATTCAAAATTGAATAATAGAATATTCAGATTTTATTTTTGAAGCATCTTCTATATTACAAATTGTAAATACCTATATACTTCTAACTTGAGTAACAAGTTGGGATGACCATCCAAGTTCTTCAAAATATTGGATCTTATGACGTAGATCTAATACGATTGCTGAAATATGTAAAATATTTGTTTTTTGACAGTACTCTAGAAGTTTATTAGCAGCAGCTTCGCATCCTTCTTTTAGCCATTCTGGAATATTTTCTTTTCGTCTAGTTTCTTCAAGTGTTTCAAGTAAGGTATAGTAAAGGGGGACAACCATTGACAGTGTTGGATATTCTGATGATGATATAAAGATTGTCACTAAATTGAATTAAAGAATAAATGACTTATCTATGTATACTATATTTGTAAATTTTGCAGATCACATTTTGCGAATCGTGAAATAATACATTTTATTTTCATGTTGTATATACTAACCATCCTTAAAAGGCTATAAAACCTCAACAAGAAGCTTTATCTTTTCCTATTCATTATCAACCAAAATATACCAGTGTAATTCTGCTTCAGCCAACAACATACCGTCTAATACTGTTTGCAACTCCAATGCTCGCTCACACATATAAATGGTGGAATTTCACTGAGTCGTTACATCAAGAATTGGCTTCAATGAACTAGATAATTTTAATTTGCTATGGCATTTACGCGATACTCTGATACTTTTAATTAACTCACGTAACTGTTAAAAAAAAGAATAAAAAACTCTGATTTGGTATCTCAAAGCAAAGCAATGCTGCCTAGTATTGAAAAACAAATCAAATACACAATTTACATTATCATCTTTGATCAAATTTTGCATAGTTTTAAATTAGATTTAAAACATTTAATTTTTATTATGTAATTCAATTATTTATATTCAAATTCTGACTTTGAATACGATTTTTAAATCCACAGAATCTCCGATGCAACATAACACAGTGTTCTACAAAGGTTATATCTTTTTGCAAAGCGTAATAACAAAAGATTTAAATCTGCTTCAAATTGATTTAAAATAAAAATCCTACCATACACATACCTCATAGAAAGACTTTCATACTTTTTAAAAAAATAAAACTACAAAGAAT